TTCCCCCCAAAACCAAGAACCAGAGGGAACCCTCACCAAGCAGCTCCCACTTCTGGCCCCAGGTACACGGCCTCAGAGGCAGCAAGCACCTGCCTATCATTGGTTGTGTTTGCTCACCTCCCTGATTGACTGCCTTCCCTGGGGCAACCTGCTCCAGCCAGACTCCTTGGGTTGCCTCCCAGAAAACAAGTCTACTCTCTGGGGAGTTATGCTACCTACAGCCCCTGGCTGGGAGCTTTGAACAGGTCTTATGATTCAGGACATCTTTACACATTTCAAAGACTCCATACTTGCTCCAGGCCTTCCTTGCCTGTGCAGAAGGGAACTGCCCACTGGAGAGCTGATGGGATGGGGACTATGAGGCCACTTTCCGGTTCTGTCTGTGGGTGCCTTGCCTTCTGGGTTGACCCCATCTGTGTTTCAATAAATGCTGCTGCGATGCAAGGGTGCCTGATGTTTTGTGCCAGGGTCGCCGCTCCCTGTTTCTTTGCCTCCACCAGCCAACCAACCCTAGGCCAGCCCCACACTGGTAACCAGCATTTGGAAAAGCCAGTATCATGTGTCACAGGGTAACCATCTCCACTCACCCCTGTGACTCCTCCTCTTCCAGTCCATTACCACAGCCGGATCCACTTGTCCTCCTCTGTCCCTGCCAGGCTGGAGCACAGTTCCCCCCATAGCATCCTCCCCCAAAATAAGTCATCCTGCTGTCTTAGTTAAGGTTACTGTTGCTGTGATGAAACACCATGACCAAGTCAACTTGCGGAGGAAAGGGTTTATTTGTCTTGTATTTCCGTATCACTGTTCATTATAGAAAGAACTCAAGCAGAGCAGGAACCTGGAAGCAGTAACTGATACAAAGGCCAACCTTAGGGAGGCATTTTCTGACATAGGGTCCCTCCTCTCTGATGATTCCTGCCAAGTTGACACAAAACTAGCCAGCACACTGGTCTTTTAGCCCCACCCTTCACATGCTTAGCAGCCAGAGTCCCTTCCCAAATTCACTGCCACACTCCTACCACTGGGCTCAGATCACTCCCAGCACAGGCATGTGCTTCTTCCCCCAACTGCTCCTCCTTCCTGAACAACTTCCCTCCCAGTGCAGGTTCCCCAGACCTCCAGTACACAAGGAGACAGGTCTGCCCTCCTGAGGCTCCAGGACCACCTCACTGCCATCCAAAGCAGACACACGGCCAGTCCTGTGCCCCTCATCTATCACCTGTACCTGTACTCAGTGATCTTCTCTAGTGGCCACCACCTCTGCGTCACAGCATCTAGAACCCTGAAGATACCTGGTTCTGTCTCCATGGCTTCAGGTCTTACCAAAGGTAAAGCTGGAAGCTTCTTGAGGGCAGAATGTGTCTCCTGCTCTGAGCCTTCACTAGGCCCCAGGATGGAGCTCAGGGCATGCCAGGCCTGTGATGTATCGAGTGATCTTAAGAAGCTGAGAAAGTAAGAACCATCGACACTCAGCCCCCTCAGACTCCATCTCTGCACTAGAACACACCGGCTGTCACTCTCATGGGGCAGGTGTCTGTCCACCAGCCCCTCTGCTGCCCTACTCTCCTCCATGCCCATCTCTCAGCTCTTTCACTGGTAGACGGTAAGACCTGAGTCATTCTGCTGATTTAACTTCAAGCCCGAAGGATTGTGAGCCAGCTGGAGAATGCTGACTGCTCGTTTGAGGTTTACCAGGTGAACCCAGACAGACTCCTGTAAGCCTTCCCCTCCTTCATCCCGACTCTCTGGACCTTGACCACATCTGTGATCACTACATCATTTAAGACACATCATTCATCTACAAGGAAACCGAATTTCAGAGGCTAAAATGTCAGACGATGGCAATGGTGACTACCGCCAGTCACCACGAGCACCATAGCTACCGCCAGCCACCACCGGCACCATGACTACCACCAGCACCATGACTACCGTCAGTCACCACCAGCACCATGACTACCGTCAGTCACCACCGGCACCATAACTACCACCAGTCACCACCGGCACCATGACTACCGCCAGCCACCACCGGCACCATGGATACCACCAGTCACCACCAGCACCATGACTACCACCAGTCACCACCAGCACCATAGCTACTGCCAGTCACCACCAGCACCAAAACTACCGCCAGTCACCACCAGCACCATGACTACCACCAGTCACCACCAGCACCAAAACTACCACCAGTCACCACCAGCACCATAACTACCGCCAGTCACCACCAGCACCACGACTACTGCCAGTCACCACTGGCACCAGCAGCACATGGCCACTGCTGCCATCACCATCACTGTCCCATCACGAAGGAACGGCGCCCTCTCCTGTGGTGTACCGGCTCAGGGGCAGCCAGTTTGTTACGAACCCCTTTCCCAAGGTCTCTCTGGCCCTCTCCTGCCCTGCTATCTCATCCTGCTTTTTCTTTCCTTGCCTGGCTGGGGATATTTCTTCAAAAATAAACGTAATTCCTTAAGAATCTTATCAAGTAAGTTGGAAATATTAAACATCAAAGAAGAGAAAAAAAAAACACTAAACTTGGACAAACTCCCGTCAGACTTGATCTGCTCTTTTGTAAGAAGCCCTAAAAGGTCACAGGGGGCGGGGGGAGGGGTTGCTTAAAGACCATCTCTCCCTCTCCCCTCCCATAAGTCGCTACTATCCACCCCAGGAGCCTTAGCTCAGTTTCTGCCCCTGCTCGGAACGTTGCCGGAGTCAGTCATCTGGCTCGCTTTCTTCTTTTTGAGTCCCATCCTCCCTGCGTGGCTCTGATGAATGTGTGCACGTGAATGAACTGATCAGCATTTCTCCTGTCTGTCTGTCTGTCTTGTCTATCAGTCTGTCTTGGCAGACTCCGTCTGAACCTTCAGAGGGAAAATGTGAACTTCCCTCCAATGGCCGACCTCTGAGGCTGTGGGGAGCACATCTGCAGGCATCAGAACTCCATCAGAAGGACAGGGAGAACTGTCCAAAGACTTTGCTATGACTTAAGAACAAATCTATAATCTCAAGCAAAATGTCTTTTTGTTGGTGATAGTTTTGGGGGGGTCTTTTTTTAAGTATCAAATAACATACAGGAAGTAGAGTTCTCCCTGTACAAGAAGGGAAAGTTGTCCATCAGAAACGCCTGTCTTTATTTCAGCCACACAGCCAGAGGGGACTCTGAGCAGGCTTCCACAGGTGTGACTTCCTGGGACTATGTGTTGTTAGGGTTTTTTGTCAGCTTGACACAAGCCAGAGTCACCTGGGAAGAGGGACCCTCAATTGAGAGAGTGCCTGTATCAGACTGTCCTGTAGGCCAGTCTATGGGGCATTTTCTTCATTGATGATTGATATGGGAGGACTCAGCTCACAGGGGGTGTCAGTCCTAGGTTGTATTAAAAGCAAGCTTATGGGTCGGTCCATGGGGAGCAAGCCAGTAACCAGGGTTCTTCTGTGGCTTCTGCTTCAATCCTGCTTCCGGGTTCCTGCCTTGAGTTCCTGCCCGGACTTCCCTCCACGATAAACTGCGATTGTAAGTTGCTTTTGGTCGGTGTTTTATTACAATAGAACCCAAACTAAGACAGACTGTCAGTTCAGGAATCGGTGACTTTGTCTAAGCCATTGGCCAAATGACTCCAGCAGAGCTCTGAGACCTGGGTCCCTACGCAGGGACCTGTCTTAACTGCCTATCCTAAAATCACCCCAGGGTTCCTAGAGAGCAGAGGCCATACTTCAGATGCTCGAGGAGACTCCATGCCACCTTCCATTTCTTAACTGAAATGTCAACATCTAGTTGAACAGGATTAGATAGAGCCCTGTCTGGGAGCATCAGACAAGCCAGAATGTTGAGCCCAAACAATTAGGGAATGTCATGGGGAGTTAATTAATACTGGCATTCTCTGGATCTGATTCTGCTTCCTGAGCCAGCTGTGTGGTTTTAGGACAGTCACTTCTTAGGGCCTTGGTTTCCATGCCTGTAAAATGGGACACTAACGTTGTTTTTCAGAGAAATGAATGAAGTATATACATGTTGTATCAGAAGCTGGGTGGAGACTTAATTCAACCCGGGCTTTCATTTTCCTCTTTCTGGCCTTTACCCCCATCTTGCCCTGCTGCATGCCCCAGGCCAGGCTCTGAGCCTACAGCAGAAGCAAAAAGACTAATTAATCGGATGCTCTGAGAATCGAAAAGAAAGCCTCCCACATAGGCAGAGGTGCCCAACTCCACCCTCACCTCTGCCTGCACCAAGCAGCAGCCCTCCCTTCCACTGGCTGGCAGAGGAATCTCCCAGGTTGTGTTTAAATGCGGGTTCCTGAAACAGTTCCTTGAATTACAGACTCACACTCCAGAGACCCAGTGATCTGTGTGAGATAAATACCCCATGGGGACCACACCATACCCAAGGAACATAAAACAAGCCAAGCTCTGGGTCCGGAGGAAAGCAGTGAAGGAGACGAGCATCCAGTCAGCAGGACAAAGCCTATTACACCACCATTTAATCCAGTGTAGCAAAGGAAAGGAGTCACATGGGTCTCATCCAAATGCAGCACCACCCCAACCATACATCAGCCTCGATGGTTCTCCACAGCCAGACTTTTCACCTCAGTGTCTGGATAACTGGGGTTTGCAGTCTGGATAACTGGGTCTCCAGGCACAGAGTCCTGTCTTCTCAGCAAACGGCTTCCCTTCATCCCCAGTGCAGCTCTGCCTCCTCAGTGCAACATCTGTGGCCCCTCTCATCCAAGAGCAAAGCCCAAAGATGCTCCCACATGCCGTATGCCTCTCTGCCTAGCCTCCATCCGGCCCAGGACTTAATTGCAAGCAGTGAATAATATCTCCAACAAGAAGAAAACTAGAGAGCTACTTCTAGGTCCCTGAAGGGGAAAGTTTCTAAACTGACATTTGGGCTGTGAGAGAAACGGTGATCCTTCCTACCCACCCCAGCCCCTTCCCAGACACAAGAGTCCAGAATCCCAGGCCTGTCTATGAAAACCACACCAGACTCGTACTGGAGCAAGACCCCACTACAGAGGAGGAGCACTGAGCACCACTGTTGATGGCCATGTCCTCTGGGCCACGAGAGATGGGGAAGCCAGGTCCCCATAGACCAGGCCATTGCCCTTTGAATGGCTCACACCTGTGGAGAGAGACACGAGGTCAGAAACCTCTTCCTAACCAAAGTTGGGTAACACAAGATTATGAACTCTATTGGTACTCTGACAGCCTGGAGCATGGATCTTTTAAAACCTCGGCAAACTGCAGTCTTCTGCTGCCCCCCTCCTCAGGGGAGCGTGCTCAGCAATTCAGACGTTTCATTCTGCTTAGACCAATGTTGAGAGGTGCTCATGCAACAAATTAGCAAAAACTGTTGGGAAGAGCTGGAGGAAATCATCTAGAAATATAGCTGTGGGAAGGGTGAGGGGCAGCTGGGTCAGAAGAGGGCACTGACGTAGCAGCTGCCTGAACAATGGAATTCTAAGGAGTTCCCAGCTACCTGCAGACCCTGGTATGCCTAAGTCTATAATTTCTCCATATGATGTCACACAAGGAACCATCTGTGAGAAATGGAAAGCTCAAGCTGGCTTGCAGAACTAATTGTATGAGGATGGGGGCTCAGATTTTGCCACATTTATTAACTTACGCTTCATCGATATTTTAGACAGATCCACGTACAGGGCAAATACTTGGTGCCATCACCTATCACTTCTCAGAGACTTCAAGTCTGTTCTCTCTCACCCAGTACTCCATGGAAGGAGGCTCAGTTCCCAGTTAGATGTAACCTAATAGACTATGAACACCCAAGGGAACCATATGCCCACACATCCAACTTACAGATGTTGACTGAGCCCAGGCCTTTACACAACCTGAGGGGAGAGGAGAGATAAGTGGTCGGAGATGACTTCCGCTGGTTTTGCAGTATGCTCATGTCCTTTAGCTTAGCCAAGCAGGATGGGACCTGAGCAAGCCTCTCCCACCCCCTCTGGACCTCAGTTTCCCCGTCTGTAAAATGAGTAAACAGTGACATCATTCCCCTTTGAATCTCCTCTACTTGGAGGGTTCTATCCCACCCAGGCACTACTGTATCCCTGAATGAAGACCTAAAGGAACACCCCTACTCACACCCCAGAGCCCCATCCTCACCGGCTTTCCTCGCCCTCCAACAGTTTCCGATAGGTGGCGATCTCCACATCCAGCCCCAGCTTGGAGTTAATCACCTCCTGGTACTCCTTGAGCAGGCAGGCCATGTCCTGCTTGGCCTTCTGCAGGGCAGCCTCCAGCTCAGCCAGCTTGCAGCGGGCATCACTGAGGGCGGCCTCTCCCTGCTGCTCTGCCTCAATTATGGCGGCCTCCAGCTTGTGGCGCTGGGGACAGAGGAGAGAAGGAATTGAAAAGGTACAGCCAATGAGAATTCCTGGTAGGTTGTCAATGACCTTGATCACACTATTCCCTGCCATTTAAATGGTCAACCTTAGCAGTGTGTTGGTGCACATCTTTAACCTCAGCACTTGGCAGACAGTGTCTGGGGTTACAGGTAGGTATCACCATGTGTCCACCTCTTTCCCTCCATCCTTTGGGTACCATTGTATTATAAAGTCCATTTGATTTCACATGCGAACCACAAGAGGGAAAGACTGTTAACGTTGGAATCGCCCTGGTAATTAGTAACATTACCGTATGTCTGTGTGCCAAGGTCCATTTACAAGGCATTTTCACAGACGCTATGTTATTTACCTTCAGGCTTACTCTACGGGCTTGTCAGAACATGCACTATTGTCTCCACTCTGCGGATGAAGAAACTGAGACTCCAAGAGGTCGTGACTTGTCTAGGTTTTCCACTGGGAAGGGCCAAGCACAGATTGCAGGAGCTGCTGTACGGGGTGGGATCTGAACCTGTGACCCACAGAGTCCAGCATACTGAAGGAAGGGCCCATTTGTAACAGTTCCTAACAAGACACTCACTGGCAGTATCTCCCACTTCCTCCCCGAAGACAGCGCACCCAAATGCAAAGGAGCCTTGCTACAGGGGGGCCCACTCCCACATTTCTTTGGTTCCTCTGTTATGAGTAATAAGTTGCCAATGATATATTTTGCATTGTGGTTGAAAACAGCTGCACCAAAGGAGAGAGTGGAAACTGAGTCAGGAATGTGTGCAAAGTCAGTATTAGAGCGTCACAAGTCAGAGGTTACATAGTCTTTTTCTTATTTTATGCAGGAAAATTAAACTAGAAACCTCTTCACTGTATGTTCAAAAAATACAGCTCAAATGGACTAATGACCTAAGTGTGAGAGGCAGAGCTGTAAATCTAATAGCTGGGAAAAAAACAGAGGACATCTCCAATGCCACAGAGTTCCCCTGCAAAGGCCCTTGAAGGAAGAGCCAACAGACTTGGCCGCCTTCAGGCTGGAGAGTTCTGTTCAGTAGCAGACGTCATCAAAGCAAGCAGACAGAGGCAGACCGAGAGGAGACCAATGCATGGCAATGTGGGAAACCAAATGTGGGTTACAGGTGACTGGAGTGACAAGGCAAAGCTACAGATCCCCAAGGAAAAGACAAGAATCTCAGGAGAAAAATGGGGCAGATGAAAAACCCAGACGAGGACAGTCAAATGACGAGTGGGAATACAAGCGGACAGACCACATCACCGGTCCACCAGGGAAATGAAGCGTCAACAGTTCTATGGCAGTGGGCACCCATCAGATCCACAGAACTAGAGAGTGACCACAGAATGTGCTGGGACAACACAGGAGTGTTGGCACAGGTGAAACCTAAGCCACTCCAGAGGGGGCAGCCATGCCCACAGACAGGAAGAACACAGAGCCCAGCTCTGAAGTAGCGGGAGCCCCGGCTGTCTTGGCCTCCTGACCTGCTGCTTGGCGCTCTCCACCTCACAGGTCAGCCTCTGGATGATGCGATTCAGCTCACTGACCTCTTCCTTGCCTTTGCGAAGATTCTCACCTTGCTGGGTCACCGTGATCCTCATCTCTTCACACTGTGATTTCCAGGCAAACAAGAAAGCACCAGCTGGAGGGGATGGTGGGATGCCAGAGCAGAGTCCGACTGCCCAGCCCTGATTCTGCAGGGGTCCTTCCTCCCTGCCCACTCTGCCTGGGGGTCTCTGGAATGCATGTGTGCCTAGCCCACTTGAGTGCCAGACTCAGGGCTAAGCTCCTTTGTTCAGTGGGGCATCTTCATACCTGGGTCTGGTACCAGGACTCAGCCTCTGCCCGGCTGCGGCTGGCAATATCATCATACTGAGCCTTGATCTCAGCCACGACCGTGTCCATGTCCAGCTCCCGGCTGGTGTCCATCTTCACCACCACTGAGGTTTCCGAGATCTGGGACTGGAGGTAGATGATTTCCTGTAGGAGACACAACCGGTGGCGTCAGCCTCAATCCTGCCTCTGATGGCAAGTCCAAGAGCAGCAGTCCTAACTCTGAAACCTTGGGAAGAACACAAAACTGCTAGTGACGCGGGACACTGAAAACATACGGCTTTTAGAGGAAAAGGTTGAAGTTAGGGCCGTGGTCCAAGGCAGTGAGTAGAGAGTCCCACCATCACCTGGCTCAATAAGGCAGATGAGTATGTCTGCAGAACAACTATATTCAGGGCCAGAACTGCCCAGATTGGCAGGAGCCATGAGTGCAAACGTGACCCAGCAGACAGGAGCCAGAGTTGGAGCCCCAGGTCCTTCGGGTGTGTTTTCACACTACCCAGACTTGTGCACTCATGGTCAATCTCCACTTTACACCATGCTGAGCGGAACCGGACTACCTTAGTCTCCCGAATCGCCCTCAAAGAGGGGCATGGCTCACTTCTGATTTGAAAAGGAGCCTTAGTGAGAAAAATCCCCTTTGGTCACAGAGGAGAAATGAAATATAAGCAGAATAAGGAAAGCAATACTATTCCAAAAGCCCTGGCACCAGGACAGGGCCTCAGTGAAGAAAACTCCGTGGGGAAATTCTGTTACCTCCATGTACAGGGACCGCAGGAAGGTCATCTCCTCCCTCAGTGACTCTGTGTTGGCCTCTAGCTCTGCCTTGTGCAGGTAAGCACTGTCTGTGTCCTGGTGAGAGGGATGAGAGAGAGTGGGTGGGCATGGGCTTCGCCAGGCACTGAGTCTCTGCACTCTGCAGTGGCCGAGAGGCCGTCTCCTAGTCACCTCTCTGTCTCTAGCCTGCCCCCGGCCAGCAGGCTACGTGTCTTCACCTCCAGGGCCCCTCTTCAGTGTCTACCACCGACATTTCTCCCCTGGTTGACAGGCAGGGAGACCGGTTACTTGGGAAAGGAAGTAGAGGGGCGTCTCTCATACATGCACTTCAACACCGAGGGCTTGGGAAGGAAACCAAGGTTTACAGCCCCCAGCCAGCGTCAGCAGCTGCTTCTCAGCCAAGCACCCCAGAGAGCACAAGAGTGTGACAGGCAGCAGAGCCCCAATAACTGCCTCTCCTGCCTGAGGCCAAGTTATAGAGCTCCACTCTATGGTTACAGATAGAGGGGCTGGTAAGCATTGAAGAGCGCAAGCTCACATTTTCGCTCACCTGGTTGAAACAAAAATAGAGATCACAGGCAGCTTGGTCTTCTTTATCCCCACCCTCTTTTATAACATTGACTGACAGCCACACTTAGAAAATCACTAACAAGCTAAGACCCAAACAACTCGCATTTGGGATGATGGTAGGAGCCATGCCCACAAGAAAGACAAGCATGAGCATCAGCTGTAACTACTGACAGAAAGCCCAGCGGCTGCTTGAGCTCTCAAGACTCCCCCCACTGGACTAGTCTGGGTTGCTGCATGGGGACCAAAATGGCTTCTGCAAGTAAACCATCCAGCAGACCAGAGAACCTTCCACCAACCACTGGTCACGGGAACACGACCAGACACTGGTTCCAGTCCCCAGTACCTGTGACTTCAGTCTCACTCCGTAGGAGGCCACTCACCTTCTTCAGTATCACAAACTCATTCTCAGCCACGCCCCTGAGGGCCAGTTCTTCTTCATACCTGGGGAGAGGGCACAGGGAAGGTTGGCCGGCTACAGCCTGAGCAGCAAACCTCCTTGGTCTTCCTTACTCTCTGTGTATGCCTGTGCTGGTCAGTTTTTGACATCTTGACCTAAGTAGAGACACCTGAGAAGGGGGAACCTCAGCTAAGGCATTGCCTTCGTCAGATTGTCCCGCGGACATGTGGGGGTGTTTTCTTGATTGTTAATTGATGGGGGGAAGATCACCCTGGGCAGTGCCAGCCCTGGATGCATGGTCCTGGGTCCAAGGTAGCCTGGAAGCAACCAAGTAAATGACTTTCCTCCATGGTTTCTGCTTCAATCTCCTGCCTTGTCTTCCTTTGACGATGGACTGTAACCTACAAGTTAAAACAACCCTTCTCCTGCCCTTGTTTTTGGTCATAGTATTTATCACAGCAACAGTCAGCAAACTAGGTCAGTGCCTTCAAGAAAGAGGCTTGAGGAAAGTGTGAAGAAAAAAAATCAAGAACAACCCCAGACTAACCAGAGCAGCACACCATTGCACCACAACACTCCGGTCATGCCCAAGAGAAAGCCTGAGGGCGCAAATGGAGGTAAAACCAAAGTGACTGGAGACAGAGAGGCCTGCAAGGTTCTCTGCTAAACCTGCTCCTCCAAAGTCAGAGCCCAGGCCTAAAAGGCCCAGAAAAGACAGGAGAGAAGGTTTCCAAAGACGAGAAGGGGGGAGCTGAGGCTGGCAAGGGTGGGAATAACCCTGCAGAAAAATGGGGATTCCAAAACAGAGCACAGAAAGCCGAAGGAGCTGTGGGAAAGTGTGTGCATGTTTTACAACGCTGTGCTTCTGGTGAGTGCACAATTTGGAATTCTATTTCTACTGAGTTTTATGAGATGTGGGACTTGTTTACTTTTAAACTATGTGGCTAGCACACAGGACACTTCATTGTTTCAGGGAGGAAGGAACATGTGTCACTAACAAAATGTCTCTCAAGTTAAACTGGTCGGAGGAAAACGCCTTTCCTCTGACAGCATTGAAATACTCCTGCAGTGGTTGAAATGAGAAATGTCTCCCCACCCCAGGTCCCAGTATCTGAACACTTGGTTCCAGTTGTGGTGCTGTGGAGGGAAGTTTAAGTGGTATGGCCTTACTGGAGGAAGCGAGCCACTTGGGTGGATTTCGAGGTCAGATAGTCTCACCCTACTTCCAGCTCCCTCTCTCTGCTTCACACTTGTGGAAGGATGTGTGCAGGGTGTCCACTTCCTGCTCTGCTCAACATGCCTACACTTGCTGCCAGGCTTTCCCCGCCATGATGGACTCTCACCTTCTGGAACCATAAGCCCAAATAAATTCTCTCCTCCACGAGTCACTTTTGGTTAAGATGTTTTCACAGAAACAGAAAAGTAACTAATATAACTCCTCTTGGCTCCCAGGAGGGATTTCCTGAAATTGACACACATGGCCACCTTGGAACAAAATGCCCTGTGGTGTGAGAAAATTCTAATTTCATTTTTGACATCTTCCTCCCGCTCTGCCATCAGCATAGACTCAACTCCTTTAAATCCAGACATGTGGAGGCCTGAGCCCCTAAAATTGGTTTTGTTGGTGTTCCTCGGAAGAGCAGTTATTTCATTTCTGAAAGGCTGGGTACCTTCTGACTGATCATTCCGCCATTTCCATTTTGCTTCCTGAAAGTCAAGGCGGGCTTGTGAACAGTCAACAATGTGCTGAATGTGAAATGTGAGCTGTCACTCAATGCTTCACCTCCTCACAGCCTCCAATGAAGACTTCATTGGCTTCTACAGTAGCTCTCTGATCTTGGTAGACCATACAAGAAAGGAGTTTGAAAATTCTTGAGTACTATTAATGATTGCCTGACCATGTCCTTCCTGAAGTACTGCGGTTGTATGAAAGTTGGCTTTCATCGATCTGGGCGTGGTTTGGTTTGGGGAAGAACGAGGAGAGAAACATGAGGAGAGGGGGGGAGACAGAGGCTTGCCCTCTTTGGGTTTACATTTTCCAGCCACGGATGCCGATGAAAAGGACACTGGACTCTGGTCCCAGCTTGAAATGAAATCTCAACAACATCTAAGATAAGTCATTGAACCTCTGTGTGCCTGCACAGTGAGCAAAGCCAGAGCCAGGATGAGAGAAAGGGAGGAAGTTGCTTCCAGCCCTTCAACTCTTAACATTCTACAAACCGTGATATTCTCCGAAATGTTAAGATGGCTCCCCGCAGCCTTCCCCTAACGTCAATCCCTCACCCACCCAATACCCTAGGACTTGAATTCCTAAAGTAAGCCCCAGTCCAGAGCATTTCCCTAGCCCTCTCCACCAGCCTGCCCCTTGCCCCACCTGTGATACTGCCTCCTGGACCAGCACGGACCCAGCTAACATGGGAGAACTCAGCCCCCAGAGCATGGTTCCCATGACTTCTTCATTACAGCGTAATCCTGGGCTGCAGTTAACGCTCAGCTCTGTAATTATCAGCCCTCGCATGCCCAGCTGGGACCTAGACCTGGCCACCTGCCTGTTGAAAGGTGTGTGAGTGTCTGCGGCATTCCAATAAGGAGAAGAGCCCCCTACTGTAGTTCTTGAGGTTGTAAAAGCTGGTCTTCCAACACCTGATTCCAGGAGAGTCAAGGCTAGAACAACCAGGACAAACTGATATCAAATCTCCTTTCATAAGGCTAGCAATATTCAGTGGTACAGCATTTGCTATGTATGCGGGAGGCTTGTGTTTCATCCCTAGAACCATACAGCAGCAGTAGAAAATCGTCTTCCACTCTGTCCATATCCTCAAAGGAGAGAGGGGCAAATTCACGACGATCCAGTGAGCTTGACTGGTAAACATGTAAGACTAAAACAAAGGATTTACACTGACACTGAGCTGAGGAGCCCCGCAAAAAGAGAGCTTGGTTTATTTATTGCAGAGTGACTAATAAGCCACGTTCCTCGGATGCTTTGAAGGGCAGCAGAGGGTCTCAGGATGCCTCCCCCAGAGCCTTTCCACTCCCACTGGCGATGGTTGCCCCACCTGCTCTTCCGCCCTGGTGGCCTTGGGCCACCTCTTCTCTTGGTCTTCCCCTCCACCCCGTCACCCTGTGACCTCAAGAGCAGACTGTGCTCTTCTCGCACTGGGAGTGCTTCTCTCCAGACTTTCCCTGAGCCCTAGAATGGGTCTGGGGGACTAGGAGCTGAGCTAGACAGCAGTACTAGGTGATAGCTGACTCTGACCCCCAGCAGCATCCCCACTCTCCACCTCCTGGACAGTGGCATGGCCTCCCCCACTCCCTGTAACTGCCCGAGCCAGGTTATGTTAACCTCTTCTTGTGGCCCTCCATGGCCTCCTGCACGTGGTTGAGCTCTGAGGCCAGCCTCCCGCTGTCAGCCTCCACACACTCAGCCTCCCTCCTCAGGGTCTCGATGTAGCCCTCGAACAGCGGCTCCACGTTGCTCTCACAGCACTTGTGGTTCTGGTAGAACTGCCACTTGGTCTCCAGCAGCTTGTTCTGCTGCTCCAGGAAGCGCACCTGCCGTGGGAGTGAGAAGGGGAAAGGCTCAGGGGGAGCCTGGGGAGGGTGCCAGTTCCCCTGCAGCTCCCTGCCCTTTGGCTTGGCCCCTGCCCTGAAGCAACCTGTGACTTTTCAAAGGTCATCATCATACCTGAGGTGATTTCCCTGGCACCCATTACCCCTCCCAGAAAAAGCACACAGCTCACAGCCTTGTATTCATTCTACAGAATGAACTATTTGCCAAAGTCCAAGCAATGACCCCTCAAAGGTGTCTCTAGTCCTTGGGACCTACGAGTGTGTAACGTACCTAGCGAAGGGTGTTGCTATTAGAATTCTGGTTGTGGAGCTGAAGACTCGGGGGTTTTCTTGGATGACCAAGAAAAAAGGAAGGGAAGGAGGGAGAGAGGGAGGGAGGGAAAGAGAAAGAGAAAAAGAGTTAGGCCAGCAGGCAAAAAAAAAGGATGCCAAGGGGCTCTGTGTCTCTCGGGTCCTGAGTAAGTAGGGGCAGAGGATGCCTTGGGCAGAAGTCCTGAGGATTCATTGACTCTCTCAGGATGTCCCCAGAAGGGGGTAGGAGGGAAGGAGCCTAGCCCTTCTTGGTCCTGGCTCTGTGCTGCATGCCCTGTGACGCCATCTTCTCTGTGACAACTGTGCAGCTTTTATACCTTCCTGTGTGTGGCAGCTGAGATCTGGAAGTCGGGGTCACAGACACATGTGCAACTCACTGCGTGTGTAAGGGGCAGCGAAAAGCCCCCCGTTCTGTGTGGTGGCTTCACGTCCACAGTTATATTGGAGTCCCATGGCGACATTTGCAAGCCAGGAATGGTGTTCAGCTATGTTCTGCACGCTACAGGTGACTGGTAGCAAGAAAACCAGAGCTGCAGCCATCATGGGGTTCCAAGTCTCTTGCCTGTTCTTAGGCTGGAACCCTAGGGAGGACCACACGAGCCTGCCCTGATCAGGCACAGAGTGCTCCAGGACACCCACCTTGTCGACGAAGGCGGCAAACTTGCTGTTGAGACACTTGATCTGTTCCTTCTCCTCATGCTTCACACACTGAGCATTGGGGTCGATCTCCAGGTTGAGGGGCGTGAGCAGGCTCTCATTGACGGAGACTGTGGTGATGCAGGGGGGTGTGGGCCCGCAAAGGCCCCCCACTCGGTAAACAAAGCTGCTGCTCCCACTGTGCAGAGGCCATCTGTAACTCCCTGCAAGCCGGGGGGACCCTACAGTACACAGGCTCCTGCTGCTGAAGCCCCTGAGGTGCCTGTAGCCTGGCCCCCCAGGACTGCCCCCACAGTAGGCCGCTGTACTGGCTCGGCTGTGAGCTCCCAGCTTGGGCACCCAAGCAGAGGAGGAGCTGAAGTTCCTGACCCCACAGCCAGAACTGAGGAGGTAAGAACTGACTGCCATGTCTCTGCTGTGTGGAAATGCTCTGGGGATGCAGGACTGGAGGACAAGGTCTCACATTGAGACCTGGTAGTGCCCCTGCCTTTTTATCAGGCTGAGGAGGGGCCTCCTGACCACATGAAAGGCAGGAGAATGTCGTTAGTGGCATTTATGAGTGTGAGAATGCCGCTAGGCAGCCTGAAGGGAAGGGTGAAACTCATTTATAGGCATACAGGGAGACCCTGCAGGAAATGCCCCTGACATTTCAACCAGCACTGTCTACCAAGCCTCCAGTTTCCCTTCCGTCAGGAATCCTTAACCCCTCCTGGGCAGGCCCAGGCTTGACCACAATATTCCTGGGACTAAAGTGTCCTGTGTTCTCCTAGGGCTCTGCACAGCCACCCTGCTCAGCAAGCATATGAGGAAGAACTTCGAGTCTTTCCCTATGACCACCATACCCCACACCCACCCCTGGAGTGTGACCACTACAATGTAGTTGTCCTCGAAGGCAGGAAACAGGTTCATCTGCCTTCTTGTTCCTTGGTCACAAGCATAACCATGTCCCCGGGAAACACTGCTGGTCCAAATGACTGAATCAGCTGGACTCATCATACGCCAAACCCGCAGCTGCCTCAAGAGGAAGTTTAACAAGATGGACAGGCTGCCTCTGAGAAGACCAGATCCGGTGGGAACACCAGCCATGTGAGGGTGACAAACCCAAGGGGAACACAAAGCTGCAGCCCGGCACCCTGTGGAAGGTCCCTCATAGCTCACTCACAGGGCAGGCAAGGCCCCACGTGGTCAGCTGCAGCAGCAGAAGAGAGACGTGGATTCCAAGGCACCTGGCGGAGAAGTCATTCCAGAGTGTGGGATGCATCAGAAAGACGAGGGCCTCAGCCAGGGGCTGCTCCCTACACTTTTTACCCAATCAGCTAGGGCACCTTCTGTGTGAGACTCAGAGGAGCGTGGAGATGGGGAGGGGGCTGAGGGAAGCACCCGCCAGTGAAGGCCAGCTGGAACACACCCTGGCTCTGGGTGACGTGCTCTGATGATACAGGAATGGAAATAACCTCCTGTCAGAGGGCAGCCTGTGATCCCAGCTACACAGGAGGCTGTGACAGGAAGGTCACAGGTTCAAGGCCTTCTGGGCTACAGAGTGAGAGGCCAGCCTGGGCAACTCAGTAGGACCATCTCAAATAAACAAACAAGTTGGGCATGGTGGCACACACCTTTAACCCTAGCACCAGGGAGGCAAAAACAGATGGATATCTGAGTTCAAAGCCAGCCTGATCTACATAGTAAGATCCTTTTCTATAGACAGATAGATAGATAGATAGATAGATAGATAGATAGATAGATAGATATAACTAAGAGCTGAGAACAAAGTTGAATGGTAAAGAAGACTTGGGTTCCTTCCCCCAGCACCACAAAATATTTGAAACAATCTTCTGAAAGGCCATCAGGAAACAGGTCTAGCAGCCTAAGGGAAAAAAAAAAAAAGCCCAACACAGCAGGAGGTGACAGGAGCCTTTCTGTCCCCTGTCTTTATCCCTTTGTCTCTGTCTCTCTCTGCCTGCCTGCCTCTCTGTGTCTCTGTCTCTTTGTCTCTCTGTCTCTGTGTGGGTGTATCTCTCTGTTACTCTCTGTCTCTGTCTCTCTCATTCTTTCTCTCTCTCTCTCTCTCTCTCTCCCTCTCTCTCTCCCTCTCTCTCTCATACAAACACACCCTCTACGGAGTGACAGAGTGCTCAGAGCATGGACCTTCTTAGAGACACAGAGGCAATCAGCATGGACCGTGAAGGGACTGGCCTCTGTGAAGCCCACAGAGTGCCCTGGAGAGTGCTGGAGGGGTTTGTGAAGCAAACAGACACAACCCAGCATGTTGCAAGACCTTGCTGCTGGCTGTCTGGAGAGAAAGTAGGGGGCAGGGTCCCACAGGTCTTGCCAGTATCCCAGGAGAGAGCAGATGGGCTCTGGCGAGGGGAGCTCTGGGGGAAGGAGGGGCAGCCAGCTGTGGACACGATCCAGAGGGACTGAATCTGGAGAGGAAGCGGGGAGAGGGGATGGCTCCTTACTTTCTTGGGGGTTAAACTGCTCCTCAAAAGGAGGAGAGAAGGAAGTCAGTAAGATAGATGCTAAGAGAGCCACAGACGAGTGTCCTGGTTTTATGGACTTGTGTGACCTTCTATCAGTCCCCTCACTGGCTCCCGACTTTCTGAACAGTGCATGTGAAAGTCATGCCACATGACCTTCTTCTCAAGGAAGCTGGGTGACCTTCTTTGTGTCAAACTCCTTTGTGATTCCACACAGTGTCCTCTGCAGACAGAGTGTGATCACACCGTCCATGATGACAGGCAGGTAGGCAGGCACAGGCAGATGCCTCATCCACTCTCAGCACCTCGCTGTGAATCTCAGAACCTCTTCCCAGTCTTGACACCTGTCTCCCACAGCCAGCCCAGATGTGGCTAAGCCTAACAAGACATTAGGAACACAAAATGGCTCGTTCGGTCCTGGCACCCCCATCCCAACCTGTGCAAACACCCATTCTGAGAAACCCCGCATAGCTTTGACCCCATTCCTGCTGAGATGAATGAGTATGAAGGGAATAAGGTCTGGGGGAGAGATGGGCAGGAGAAGACCTTGATGAAAACATGTTAGGGTCAACTTTACCTGCAGGTAAGTCAGCTAGACGCCAATTTCTCGCTGTCACCGTCAAAGCCCATTAGCTGCCCACTTTGTTCGTTTGCTTTGCAGGGCTGAAGATGGAACCCCGGGCCTCCCATATGCTAGACAAGTTCTCTGCCGCCCCAGCTACACCCCTCAACACTTGGTTTTTCCATTTTCCATTTTGAGAGTGTTACCACATTACCTAGGCAAGCCTTGAACTTGTGATCTTCCTGCCTCAGCCTGCCAGGACCAACCATCTACACACTCCCAGTCCTGAGTGCAGAGGACAGAGGAGCAAAACTATGGTGGTATTGTGTTCCCCAAAATATTGTGCACGCTAATAAACTTATCTGGGGTCAGAGAACTGAACAGCCACAATATTAAACATAGAGGATAGGCAGTGGCAGCACACGCCTTTAATCCTAGCATTCCAGAGGCAAGAATCCGCCTGAATCTTGGTGAGTTCAAGGCCACATTGGGAAAAGCCAGGCATGGTGACACACACCTTTAATCCCAAGAAGTGAGCCTTTAATCCCAGGGAGTGATGGTAGAAAGCAGAAAGGTATATAAGGTGTGAAGACCAGAAACTAGAAGCTTTTAGCTGATTAAGCTTTCAGCTTTGGAGCAGCAGTTCAGCTGAGATCCATTCTGGATGAGGACTCAGAGGCATCCAGTCTGAGATAACAGGATCAGCTGAGGAATTGGCGAGGTGAGACTGTGGCTTGTTCTGCTTCTCTGATCTTCCAGCATTCACCCCAATAACTGGCTCCAGGTTTGATTTTATTAATAAGACCTTCTAAGATTCCTGCTACACAAAACAAAACAGTCCTTTTCCTTGCGTGTCTTTTTACGGCCCAGACTGAAACGAGCCAGCCCTCCAGTGACTCCCCACACTACCCACTTCCCAGGTTTGGAGATCAGAGACCAAGGATTCCATGTTTAGTTTGTTTGGGTGTGTTTTTGCTGTTGTTTGTTTTTTGAGACAGGATCTAATATAGCCCAGGATAGCCTTCCACTCACTGTGCCCCGGAACCTTATCTTGAACTCCTGATCCTCCTGCCTCTACGTCTTGAGTGCTAGGATTACAACATGCCATTGTTCCCTGTTTGTGCTTTTATACATTGAAAGCACTCCCTTAGTGTGCCGTCGACACTATACATATTTATAACAATAATTTAATGGCAATAATTTAATAATTTTATTTAATATTTATTTAACATTATTTTATATTTATCATTCTATATTATATTTAATATTTAATGGTATATTTAATGTTTAATATTAATTGATATTTATTAATTTTATTTAATATTATAGTATGATATTATGGTGTTTAATTATAATATTTATTTTATTTAATATCATTTAATAATTTAATAATAAAAACTGTGCATATTTAATAATAATAACTATACATATTTGATGTATACAAAGTGGAAGTTTAGGCATGAGTTCACAGAGTCTGGAGCAAGCCCCAGGAGGCTGATGGGCAGCAGGGGCCCAGCAACCCTGAAGTCAAAGGGACTGAGCTCGTCGAGCAATGATCCTGACTGCAAACTTGAAAAACAGTTAAAGAGGAGAAAGCAAGTCGTTCCAGAAAATCCTGTAAAGAGGTAGAAGCCTGGAGGAACTTCTAGAGCCCAGGTTCTATGTTCCCGTGTGGAAGCAGCTTTGTGGAGTTTTGATAGTAACAGAACAAAGGAAGTTATTTAACAAGGCATTTAAAAATACATCAGGCGCCGGGCGGCAGTGGTGCATGCCTTTAATCCCAGCACTCAGGAGGGAGAGCCAGGCGGATCTCTGTGAGTTCGAGGCCAGCCTGGTCTACAGAGTGAGATCCAGGACAGGCACCAAAACTATACAGGGAAACCCTGTCTCGAAAAACCAAAACAAAAATAAATAAATAAACAAATAAATAAACAAACAGAAAATAAAAAAATAAATAAATCAGTGGGAACATGCTTTGGTCACCTACAACAGGCAGAGGAATCTCAACTATAGGCCTCAGATCCTATCTGCTAGCATTTGCCCTTCCATTGGTGGAGAATAGTGTTTTGTTAAGTTAATACATCCAAATAAACATCCTGTTTATCAAGATGTTAGGTCTGATATGAGGTAGGCAAGGAATGAGTCTTTAGAGGCTAAAAGGAATTTATAATTAGGCTATCAGATAAACAACAAACAACATTTCAAACACCCAAAAAGTCATTGAAGTTTTTATCAGTCTATCAGCCTATGCAAACAACTTCTCTCCAGGAATTCATACAAAGTGGGGGAAGGAATAAACTATGAACCAGGATGGACACACACATTTCAAAGGGTAAGTAAAACACAGCCAAGAAACTCAAGGATCCAGAGACAACACTGGAGTCTACTGCACACCCTCGTAAGCAGAAAGCCTTTGGATAGTGGGAAACCAAAATGATGAGACAGCCAAAATGCCAGAAAAAGATCTGGAATCCTACTTTTATAAAGTGCATTGGTGTGAATGAGCATGGCCCCCATAGGCTCATGTACTTGAATGCTTGGCCCCAGTTGATGGAACTGTTTGGAAAGGATTAAGAGGTGTGGCCTTGTTGGAGGAGGTGTGTCGCTGTGGGTAGGCTTTGAGATTTCAAAAAACCATGCCCAGTCCAGTCCAGTTCTCTTTCTCTGTCTCCTGCCTGCGGGGTCAGTATGTAAGCTCTCAGCAACAGCTTTAGCACTGTGCCTGCCTGCCTGCTGCCATGCTCCCCACCATGATGGTCATGGACTCAACCTCTGAAACTGTAAGCAAGCCACCAACTAAACACTTCCTCTTGTAAGTTGCCTTGGACATGGTGTTTCATCACAGCAACAGAACAGTAACCAAGACAGTATACTTGACAGTATACTGACCACAAGGTCCTCTAGAGAAGGTACAAATGATTCTGCCTGCCTCCATATTTCTATGGGGTGGTGCA